TATTGAGGCAGTCGTGAGAGGGCATTGGCCATAAAATTCTTTCCTCCCAGTAGGTAGCACAAGGAGAAATTGAAGCAATTTATGTGTTGTTCCCACCAGACTTGTTTTGGCGATGAAAGGAGCTTCCATGTGAGGGTGTTTTAGAACCAGCGGAATGGATGCACAACTACCCTATCCTCCAGTTCACCTGGGGGTTCCATTTCCATAGCCAAGGCAGTCCAAGCGAAAGGGGTCATTCCATGCCTGGGGCCACGATAAAACTCAAGACCTCTCGGTGGTCCCCCATCCGCATTTCAATCAGTTCTATCACAAAGTGGGCTGCCCGCCCCCCAGCTACTGATCCATCCAACTGGCAAAATGCGATGGGCACTTTCATGGTTTTTAGTCTCAGTCCCAGTTTGTCCACCACCTCGGGGCTGATGACACACCTGGTGCATCCAGAGTCTAAGAGGGCTAGCATCTTCCCCTGGGCACTGGATGAAGGCACCCTTAGTTCTACTGGGATGGTCATGGGGCCCCCACGCTGACTTACCAGGGGGGTCATCACCGGAATCAGTTTTGGTATCACTGTCATCTGTGGTGGTCGGAGTTCTCAACTCCGCCAGGCCTGGAGAAGCAAACTCAATGACTTCCACCTCCTTCAGGACCATCTCGCAATTCTTTGCTGGAGGCTTGTCAGCTCTCTTCCCATCAGTAGGGGTTGGCTTGGAGCTAAGTTTGGAGAAACAATCAGCAGCTCGGTGGCCTTCCTTCCCAAATTGGAAGCACACTGTAGATTTTGGCTTCATTGCTGACCCCCCTTTGGATGCTCTAGGGCATTCTTTCTGTGTGGCAAGGGAAGGCTTGTTCCAAACTCGGCCCCCATGGAAGCGATCCCTGATCAGGTCAATTTCCACATCAGCTGCCATCACGTACCAGTGTTGCAGGTCTCGAGGGCCCCCACGGGAGCAGCAACCCTTGTAGACATCCTCATTGAGGCCATCCTTATAACATTCCATCAGGGCTTCCTGGAACCACCCCCTCATGTGGTGCACCAGCTCGCGAAACTCCTGGTGTATTCAGCCACTGATCTCCGCCCTTGATTTATAGACTTCATCCTGATTCTGGCCTTCCATTCAGCTAGGGGGTCCTCGAAGCGCCCTCTGAGTTCCACCATGAACTGGTCATAATTCCTCAACGGGAGAATTTTCATCATGGAGGCCCACCCACCAGTCAGCAGCCTTCCCCTCCAGGGCCATAGTGATGCATCTCACATGGGCGGCTTCCGATGGGAAATCCTCTCCATACTCCTCCATGTGATTCCACACTTGGGATAGGAAGAATCCCAAACCCTTGGGGTCTCCTCCGTATTTTACATTAAGTGGAGGAACCTTTGGAATTTGATGCCTCCTGGTTCCTGCCCCCCTCATAGGGGGGCCCTGGGCTGCAGTCGCAGCTTGAGCCCCAGCAGCTTGTTCTCTTTCTGGCTGAACCCCGGGAATCTCTTTTGTGCTTGCTGAAGCCTCTGCTTCCCCCCCTGGGCATTCAGTCTCCCTCCGGGCTGGCAATGCATAACTTTCATGGGCTTTCCAACTCTCAAAAGCCTCTTTCAGGAGTTGCATGGCTTGAGTCAGCAGGAGATCTTCTCTGTCCTCTTCCTGCCAAGCTGCCTCTCCCCGCTGGCGTCTTGTAGCTGTCACCCCTGAGGGAATTTCTTCTGAAGGATCCATCCTCCCCATGCCCAGCGACCACTTAGCTCTGGCTGGCTTTTCTTCAAGCTGTAACTCTGACATCCAGTCTGAAACCTCCCTATCTCGCTTGGATAAGGGAGGGGTGGACCCAGCGGCTCCCATGTCCTCTTGGTCACTGTCTTGATCAGACACTCTTGGCTCAGCCCCCACAGTAGAGTTTTCTCCGGGATGGCTGTTAAAGCAGACTTTGTTTAATGTCAGGCTTGCCTCCATTCAAAACTCAAGAAAGAAAAACCCCGACTCCATGTTGGTAGAGGTACTTTTACTGAGTATGAACTGAATGCAGTGAAAGAAAAGCAAAATCTGAGGCAATAGGCGTGAAAATTACATATTGAAAGCATCCCCCAAATCCCTTCCCCCACAGTCCCAGGTTGAATGTCCAATCCACATCTCCCCAAGGTGTCATGTGGGGTACTTCTTTAGATGGCCCCATCTATCTTGTATGCTGGGACGGTTGACCTTGACAGTTATCAGTGCAGCTGCTAAAAAGACAGAATTTTCCTCCATTTTCTGAGACATCTCCACCAGCTCACTTCCCTCCCCCCCAAATACCTACAATACCTCCCCCCTCCTGTTACAATGGCAGCCGAAAGCAAGCAAGCATCATGAGGCTGACACCACGTTTCTTGTCACCCCATTAGCCAGCCTGTCAGTGGGAAATGAGTAGGTGGGCTTTATTGCATTCCAGGCATTTCCTACCCATATGGCACGCCACATTTGCAATGGGCGGGAGGTGTTTGGGGAAGGCAGTGGGGGAAGGGGGGTGGCAGAGGAGCCACTTTTGAGCCATTGGTTTTGACAGGGCGGAGAGTCTCCCCTTAGTTATGCAGGCAGAGGTGTGCTTCCTATTTCAGTAGTCCCCAGTAAGGGGGGGAAATATTAGGAATGACCCCCATCTCGAGCCTGAGATGGGGTTCATTCCTCCATCTTGGTGCTACTTGACCTCTCAGCGGCTTTCGATACCATTGACCATGGTATCCTTCTGGGATGACTAAGGGAGTTGGGAGTGGGAGGTACCGTGTTACAGTGGTTCTCCTCCTATCTCTCTGGTCGGTCACAGTCAGTGTTGGTAGGAGGACAGAGGTCAACCCCTAGGCCCCTCGTTTGTGGGGTGCCTCAGGGCTCAGTCCTCTTTCCCCTCCTATTTAACATCTACATGAAGCCGCTGGGTGAGATCATCCGACGATACGGGGTGAGGTATCAGCAATACGCTGATGATACCCAGCTGTATATCTCTACCCCGCATCAATTCAGTGAGGCGGTGGATGTGATGTGCCGGTGCCTGGAGGTCGTGAGGGTCTGGATGGGAGTCAACAGGCTCAGACTTAACCCAGACAAGACCAAGTGGCTGTGGATATTGCCTCCTAAACACTATGTTGATTGTCCATCCTTGGTTCTGGGGGGGGGAGAAATTGTCCCCCTCAGAACGGGCTCGCAATTTGGGTGTCCTCCTAGACTCACAGCTAAGATTAGAGCAACATCTGTCAGCTGTGGCTAGGGGGACCTTTGCACAGGTTCGCCTGGTGCACCAATTGCAACCCTACTTGGGTCAGGAGGCTCTCCTCACAGTCACTCATGCCCTTGTCACTTCACGGTTAGATTACTGCAACACGCTCTACATGGGGCTACCCTTGAAAAGTGTTCGGAGACTACAGTTGGTCCAGAACACAGCCGCGCGAGCTGTCGTGGGTGCACCTAGGTACACCCACATTACACCAATTCTCCACGAGCTGCACTGGCTCCCTATTGGTCTCCGGTCACAATTCAAGGTGTTGGTTATTACCTTTAAAGCCCTACATGGCTCAGGGCCAGGTTATCTTCGAAACCACCTTCTACCGCATAGCTCCCAGCGACCGGTAAGATCCCACAGAGTTGGTCTCCTCCGGGTCCCGTCAACTAAACAATGCTGGTGGGCCCATGGGGGAGGGCCTTCTCTGTGGCTGTCCCAGCTCTCTGGAACCAGTTACCTCCTGAGATCCGGACCATCCCCACCCTATTGGCCTTCCGAAAAGTGGTGAAGACCTGGCTTTTCCGGCAGGCCTGGGGCCGTTGATCTCGCTGTTGCGATCTGGCGAGATCCGGCCATGAATGGTGTGAATGGGTTTTAATTGTTTTTAATGTTATAATTTTTAATGTTTTTATATATGGTTTTTAAATGCATTGTAAGCCGCCTTGAGTCTTTGGAGAAAGGCGGCATACAAGTTGAACAAACAAACAAATAAATATTAAACCATGGCTCAAGTGGGCTGCCGGGCTAACGGCAGAACATCGGTGCCCAGGATGGACCCACCATGCCACCCATACGTGCGTTTCCAACGGCAGCAGATTGTGTGTACAAAATGAGAGACTTTGCTTCCCCTGGGCAGTAGAGTTGTGTCTCTCATTAATGCCAGAGAGGCTGAGGAGAAGACATTGCGTGCCTGCCAAAATGTCTTTCTGACAGCCTCACCTGTAGCAGAGATGAGAATATCAACTGTCTCTAGCCCCTAATTCTCCTTAAGCATTGCCAAATGAGGAACAGCACTGGCAAACTTTCCAAGCCTGCCTAAAGCAAGTAAAGCTTTACCTGCAGGCGAAAAAGAGATGTTAATAGGGCTAACCCTATTAACATCTCTTTTTCGTCCCTGCAGGTAAAGCTTTACTTGCTTTAGGCAGGCTTGGAAAGTTTGCAGCTTTTGTCTGAAGGAGGAGGAGGAGAGGGGAGAAGAAAGAGGGAAAGTGGCCGAGTGAGAAGTGCCCCACCTGCCAGGCACTGAAGCGCCGCTGCTGCTGTTGCAGCGAGCGAGAGAGCAAGAGAGCGATCCAATCCAACCTCTGTGTGTGTGTCAGAGAAAGAGAGAGAGAGAGATCTCCAATTCAACCTTGGAGAGTTATACCACGGCTGGTGGTGGTGTGCTCTCTCTCTCTCTCACTCACTTTCTGTTTGTCTCACTGTGGCAGCAGTGGCAGTGCTTCAGTGCCTGGCCAGTGGGGCGCTTCTCACTCAGCTGCTTTCCTTCTTTCTTTGTTTCCTCCCACCCCTCACCCACTGGAGGCCCCTGGATTCCCTCCCCAACCCCGCCTGGCACCCATAGGCATCACTCATGCGAGCAACATCAAGATGGCCATGCCCCCAGGCCACACCCAGTCAGCCATGACCACTCTGGCCACGCCTCTCCCCCCCGACCCCCAGAGGACAACCACAATGCTGATCCAGCCCACAATGAAATCGAGTTTGCCGATTTCAAACAACCTACTTACTGTCATTTATTTTTCTCTTCTTGTTTGTAGGTCTAGCTGTCTCTCTTCAGCTACTCCATGGAGACATTGAACAAATCAGGAGGGACTACACATCCATGTTTACCCATGGAGTATCAATAGCAAGGAAGTTGGGCTTTTCCAATATTATTATGCCAGGTATGTTGTAAGAAAATCCTACCTTAACACGAATATTTAAGTGTGAGTAACTTTGTTTGGTTATTTATGAAGGCTTCGATGCCACTTCACTTGCAACTTTAAGTGGTTTCCAAGCAGAAAAATGAGAGTACAAACATGCAGTAACCCCAAACAAGTATAAAATAATAACCTAGTAATAATAATATAGATATTGATATGTATTACCAATGCCTGCTATTGTCCGACGCACAACCAAACATTTCAGCAACCAAATTCTCTTTGTAGTGTGGTGTTAAAAATTATCTTAAACAGCAGCAACAAAGTTATTTCTGATGGGAGGGCATTCCAAAAGATAGGAGCTCCTACAGAAAATACTCATTTCCAAGTTTCTTTTCATTGTACTTTGTACAGGGTGGGGAATATCATAAGATATTATCTATAGGTATGTTTGGAATGGGCAAATTCTATTTCAATTAAGTGATCTCAAAAACAATTATCCAAGAAAAAAATAGTTAACTGGCCCACTAAATAATCCAAAATGCATATGACCTTATGATCTTCAGCAAAGAAATGGCTCATAAATTTCTTTATCAACTAAATCTTTTTCAGTTCAACTAAATTGTTTTTTTCAGTTCAACTAAATTATTTTCAGTTCACTGAGGTTGTTTCTCAAATTGCTGATCGTCTATTCCCTTTTTTAAATATGTTAATATTGGTAAATATGTCTTAAATAAACATTTGTATGATTGCAAGGCAAAGTAAAGAAATAAAGATTACTGTGTCAGGAAGTAGAAAAATTTGGCATCAAAGCATTTTGGTTTCAGAGACTGACAGTAGTTGACATGTGTATTTTCTAGAATTCTGACCTCTTTATCTATGGGACTTAAAAATTGAGGATAGTTAATAGCCAGTTATTTCCACAAGATAAGCATTTGGATATTAAGTGGCACAGTGGTTAGAATGCAGTATTGCAGGCTAACTCTGCCCACAGCCTGGAGTTTGATCCTGACAGGCTCAAGGATTCAGCCTTTATCCATTCAAGGTCGGTAAAATGAAGACCCAGATTGTTGGGGGCAATATGCTGATATTGTAAACAGCTCAGAGAGTGCACTATGTAAAGTACTATGGAGCAATATATAAGTCTAAGTGCTATTGCTGTTTGCAAATAGATTGTTTTTAAAATTGCAACAACCAAGAATGAGTCCTTTCATAAATTATATAGATTCTTTCCTATTCTTTCTTGTTTGGTGTTATGCCATTACAAATAGGAGTAGAGGATCAATAGCAATCTTTTGTTTGTTGCTCTGATTCTACCTGAAATATTATGAGAATGACACAAAAATACTCAGAAATAGAAACTTAAACTTCATTTCATACCAATAATCCTCAATCACTATTTTAATAAAAATGTATTACTATCATAATTGTGCTCATCCTGAAAGTGTTTTATGCCTATTTACTGAGAAACAAAATCAATTGAACTTCATGTGGATTTATTTCTGAATCGATGTGCATAGAATGACATTATGAATGTCAGTTTATTTATTTATTTGTATCTTGCCTTTATTATTTTTATAAATAACTCAAGACAGTGAACAAATGTAACACCTTCCTTTTTCGATTTCCCCCCACAACAACCCTGTGATATACACTGAGCTATGAAACGATTGACCCAAAGTCACCCAACTGACTTAGCCACTTTTATGGCTAAGGTGGGAATTGAGCTCATAGTCTTTTGCTTTGTAGCTTTGTACTTTAACCACTAGATCAAATTGGCTCTCAGTTCATCCCATTTCTTAATCTTGCTGGTATACCAGTTACTTTTTTCAAAACTCTGTGTATATATAGCTGGTAATATCATGTACATTGCAAACTGATATTAAATTATTTTATTAAATATTTTTATTAAATGTCAGACATTCTCATTTGCTCCATCCCATTCTTTGTTATGATGCATGATACAACAACTCTCTCCTGTCCACTGTCACATTTTTCTCTGACTCCTATATATGCATTTTCTTCTTTTGATTTTGGAGATTAGGAGGTAGAGTGATGTGCAGTGATGTTGTGAAAATGCAAATTATAGTTGAAAAATATTTTTTTAATATTTTTTTTATTTTTAAACAAAAATAAAACATAAAAACATCATTATTCCATACAGTTACAGACAGTATATTGATCGGTTTGTATCCTTCTGTGCTCCCTCCTCTCTTCAAAATATCACTATACATCCCAAGGTTATTTTCATATATATATAAAAAAAAAGAAATTCACTTCATTTATCTCAGCATCCACATATTTTATGTTTATCTCCATTTTTTATTGTCCATCCATTGATAAAACAAATCCCATATCAAATAATATTGTTTATCCTCCTGCTCTCTTATTTCAAATGTCAATTTACTCATTTCGGCATAGTCCATCATTTTCTTTTTTTTTTTTTTTTTATTGAAAAAGTTTTTCAAATACAGATTTTTCCCCCTTTTCCCCCTCCCTCCTCCCCCCCACCCCCCCTCCCCTTGACTTCCTCATAGTAAAACCCAAGTTCATAACAGATTATATCATACTTTACTATCCACATACTCAATCTCCATATACTGACCCTTTCATTTTAATAAGATTATCATACCCCCCGTATACTATGCTATAATAAGCATTTCAAAGTGACATTCTATTATAACATTATCTAATAACTCCTGATTTAAAATAATAATATTATTATATCTCCCAATTTAACAATTTCTACTCGTAGTCTACCCTTTTACTACCCCTCAGACAATATAACATTTCAAAATATACTTCTATTCTAAGTATTCAAAAAGTCCTAATTTAACACTTATTCAGTTCCAGTAGCCATTTCGTTTCCCCCCTTCATTACAAATATTCACATCTAAACATTTCTTTAAAATAGACAATCCATAACCTAACCTTTCTCCACCCACTTTCCTACAGAATTACCATAATTATTCTTAATATCTTTATTCTTCTACCCAATCCCCTAGAAAAATATTCCCTTATGTAAATAAGATCCTAAAAGAAAAAAAAAAAACTTTAAACTTATGATCCATATAGCATCTTCTGGAATATCTTTCAACTGGATGATGAATTCCACCCATGTTAGGGTAACATCGCATCCTTATTCCAACAGTATTTTCGATATCTTCAGTTACCATCTGCCCCCATCAGCAACAAATATCTTCATATTGGAAAAGAAAAAACCCCGACAACCACCCGAGTGACTTTATAATTATATTCCATATAATGTTTATGGAGGTGTCTTTGATCCAGATAAGTGGTTCCAACCATCATAATAGGGTAACAACCAGATCTTCTGCGTGCCCCAATCCAATAAGTCTCTTGCCATATAGCTCAGCATACACGTATTTATCCGGAACTCCAAAAAACAAACAAGATATTTCCAACCATTTGGTTTAAGGCCTTTTTCACACCCAATAATTCAGCACTGCAGAGATCTGCCACTCTCCTCAGGATAAAATAAGCCAATATTTTGCCCATTATCTTTTTATATATTCAGTCCTCTCATAAGTAACTGGCATTACACTGTTGTTTAATTTAAAAGTTTTTATGTTTGTGAGACCTACTTCTTCTTTTCTTAACTTCTTGTGGGTTGGATCTCCATCCTAAACTCCTTTCTGTAGATTGTGTATCAACTATTTGGTTTTGCTGAAGAGTAGCTTGATCCTGTTGGGTTTGCGTCTGTGGCTGAGATCTTTCTGGTTCTGTAAATTGTATATCAGCTGATTGACTTACATGCTCGTTTGTGGCTTGACAAATCATTGCATTAGGGTCCGGAACCGCCTCTCTTATATTAGATAATCCAGCTGAGGCCTCTGAAAGAGGATCCAAAAGCGGCTCATCTATGGAGACCTCTTTAATTTGTTGTTTCTTCGTTATTTCCATCTCCTTCTGCTTTTCTTGGGTTTCTATCTCTTGTTGATTTTGCTTTTTAAGTACCTTATAATAGAATTCTTCCGCTTTTTCAAGAGTATTTAACTGATATCTTACTCCTTGATATCTCAATATTATACCCACTGGGACATCCCACCTGTATAAGATATTCTGTCTTCTTAACTCAGTCACCAAGGGCCCAAATTTCTTTCTATCTCTTAAGATCTTAGGCGGCAATTCCTTATATATCCAAATTTTTCTCCCATTCAGTTGTAAAGTAGAGTTAAAGGATTTTTGCACAATATCATTTCTTATCTCTTTTTCTGTAAAGTAAATTACCACATCTCTAGGCAATTGCCTTTGCTTGGCAATCCAGGAATCCACTCTGTAAGCCTTATCAATTTTACTGATTACGTCCCCGTGATGAACCTTTAAGATCCCAGCCAAAACTTGAGCAGATGTTTTTCTTAAATCATCACTATTATTTTCCTGTAAGCCTCTAATTCTGATCGCAAATTCTGTGATCCTGTATTGCAACATTACAGCCTCTCTTTCAATTCCTTGCTTTATATCTTCTAGATTATAAGTCTCGTGACCAGCTTCTTCTTTAGACTTTACTTCTAAGCTATTATCTCGAATATTTGCTAAGTCCTTTTCAATTCTTAATATTTTATTGTCCAAGTTATCAATTTTCTCCATTTTAGACTCTAGCAATTTAATATTTATATCCAACTTTATCGCAATTTCTGAAAAACCATTAGTCACTGTTACAATCTTTTGTTGCAAATTATCATACTTTAGTTGTATCATTTCTTTAATTTCCTGCCTTAAATTTTCAAATTTCTGATTCACAGTTTCATAATATTTTGCCATTTCCTCCTGAATAAATTCTTTTAAATTACAACCATTCTGCAGAGTCTGTAGGCTCAGAGAGTGGGGGAGCACCCCCCCCCCTTTCTTGTCTGTCAGCTTTTATTAACGCCATCCTTCCAGCAGACTTTTCTCTTTTACCCCCCAAACAAGATCAAGTAATCACCAGGAAGAGAGGAACCTAAAATAACTATGTTGTTTCAAATTGTAGCCAGCGCTGTATATTCCGCAACTTTGTATCT